GTTAACTAATCTAGTTATCAAAAAAATTGGGGGACAAATCAGCAAGAAACTTAAATCTTTTCCCAATGTGTTCAAATGATTGACCCCTCTTAGTTAACTAATCTAGTTATAAAAAAAATCTGAGGGCTTAGTCATCACTTCCATTAGAAATAGAATATTTTGCTCAATGAATTTCTGCCTTTGACATATCTTTTAAAAAGTTTTATAATTTTTTAATGTCAGAATGATTTCTATTGATTTCATGGGTTTTTTTTTAAAATCACATTTTGTGTATAATCCATTAAGCTCACCTGAATTTGCTCTCAGTTCTTTTTTGTCTGGTTTTACATTATTATTTTTTATTTGTTCATTTGAGTAGAGTTGACACACAATGTTACATTAGTTTCGGGTGTACAACATAGGGATCCAATTTCTCTATACTTATGTTGCTCTCAGTTCTTTAATAAATTTAAAGATGACACAATAGGTTCATTTTCATCCAAATTAAGAGTCTGTGATTTCTCACTTCTTTTGTTGAAGTGTTCCAAAGCATCCTTCCAAATTCTGAGAAAAATGCATATTGAAGGCTTATCAACTTTTTGCATAAGCTTTGTGCCTCTCGTTTATATTCGATCTCCTCTTCCAAGTCTTCGAAAATATATTTTAGAGCTCTTGACACATCCTACACTGCAAGGCTCGAACAGCTTCATCGTGGGCAGACATTCTCATGACAAACTCCTGAAAGAAAAATCCAAGCTTAGCCAACCTGAAAAGAAGACATGGAACAGATACAACATAGGAAGCCGTCAACAACTTTAAGCATGCAGGGGCAGAGGGGGGACAAGGACAAGAAATGCCCGAGGTGGCTCTGACTGCAGTGAAAATATTTTATTTTTGCAAATTTACAAAAACTTATGACCATGAGAACACATTGGCCTCCTCCCAGACCTCGGAAGGACCCTGAAACAGAATCTGCAAGGTGGAGAGGCAGTGTCCCGACAAGGATGGGATAAGACAAGACGGGGTTCACGGGACTGTGGGCAGATAAGCCTGCAGAGCAAGGGCAGCTCAAGGACACTGACGGAGCTCGAGCTGTGGGTGATGAGATGCTCAGGAGGGTTTAGTGGGGTTTTTTTAAATGTATGGGGGAAGGGAGAATGGGAGCTTAGTATGTAATGGGTACAGAGTGTGAGTTGGGGAAGATGCAGAATTTCTGGAGATGGAGTGGTAATAGGTACACAACAATGTGAATGTGCTTAATGCCCCAGAACTGTACACTTAAGAAGGGTTATGGTGGGGCGCCTGGGTGGCTCAGATGGTTAAGCGTCTGCCTTCGGCTCAGGTCATGATCCCAGGGTCCTGGGATCGAGTCCCGCATCGGGCTTCCCGCTCCTTGGGAGCCTGCTTCTCCCTCTGTTTCTCTCTGTCTCTCATGAATAAATAAATTAAATCTTAAAAAAAAAAAAGTAAGAAGCAATTTAAAAAAAAAAAAAAAGAAGGGTTATGGTGGTAAATTTCATGTTATGTATATTTCACCATACCAAAATAAATTTTAATACAAATACATTTTCACATTTTAACAGTTTTTTTAATTGAGCTCATTATAGATTCACAGTCATAATAATATGGAAAAATTTCTGGGATGCCTGGTTGGCTCCAGTCAGTAGAGAATGCAACTCTTGATCTTGGTTATGAGTTTGAGCCCCAAGTTAGGTGTAGAGATTACTTAAAAAAAATTTTTTTTAATATTAAAAAAAAAGAAAGAAAAAAAATCTTATACTTTACCTAGTTTCTCCCCTGATAATTTTTCGCAAGACTCTGGTCAAATATCACAACTAGGATATTTACACTGATACAATTAACATATCCAGATACTTGTACTTGGACGTGTGTGTGTGTGTATGTGTGTGTGTGTGTTAGTTATGCAATTTTATCCCCATGTGGGTTCGGGTATCCACCACCACAGTCAAGCTATGCAACAGTCCCAACACCGCAAGAATCCTTCATGCTGCTCTTTTATAATCATGCCACACCCCTCCAACCCTGCCCCCAATCCCAAACCCCTGTCCTCCATTTACAAAATGTTATCATTTCAAGAATGGTATATAAATGGAATCATACTTTCATCTCCTTCATACATACCTTCTTGGTTTGGTCTTTTGCACCCAGCATAATTTCCTGGAGATGCATCCAATCTAATACACGTATCAGTGGTTGGCTCCTTATTGTTCCTGGGTAATGCTCTGTGGCGTGGATGTGTCCCAGTTTGCTTAACCACCTATTACTAAGGGACATCTGGGCTATGGAAGGACAGTTTGGGCTATTATGAATAAATTTGCTCTGAACGTTTGAGTATAGGGTTCTGGGTAAACATGAGTTTTTATTTCTCTGGGGTAAGTGCTCAGGAGTGCACTTGCTGGGCTCTCTGGTAGTTGCATGTTTGTTTTTTTAAGAAACTGCCCAACAGTTTTCCAGAGGGTTTCCAGAATCTTTTTCAGAGCTGGTCCATTCTACATTCCCACCCACAACGTATGAGCTATCCAGCTTGGTTCTGTCCTCACCATCATTTGGTGATGTCACTAGTTTTATGTTCACCAACCTGACAGGTGTGTAGTGGTGTCTCGAGATTCCCATGTGCATTTCCCTAATGACTACTGATGCTGAGCATCATGTCATGGGGTAGGGTGTTAAGCACAGGAGTGGGGGGGCAAAATGGGCATTTCTGAAGGGTTGCTATTGGAAGGGGTTCCAATAGTCCTGGATAACGGCTACTGGGGTCCTTGAGAGCCAACAGACAGAGAGGGGAGGGCGTGGGGGATTCCAGAAAGGCTTTAGGAAGTAAAATGGGCCAAATGTGGCGACCAGTGAGACAGGGGGAGGAAGGAGGAAAGAAGAGGGAGGAATCCAGAATAGAATTCGGTCTGGCAATGTTGACTTTTGCCTACAAAACATTCTCGTAGCCCAGAGTATTTGGATATGAGCGTTCAAAATAAGGATTGAATCTGGGCTGAAGACATGGATTTGTAAGCTCTTCTATTTCCATCACTAAACCTAGCGGGGGAGGGACCTGATTTTTTGAACTTCTAGTCTACTGATTCCCTTGATAGGCAGTATACCCCGGGCATCTGGGGAAGGCTGCAGACGACCCAGCAATCCACACACATACCAAGTATTTCCCAGGGCACATGACTCACCTCACACACCTAAGTGCCATTTTTCAGTTATATGTAGATGGGGTTATAATTTCACAAATCCATTTACAAAATTTAATTTTAGATTTTTCTATTATGCCTACTTTTCAGTCAGAAAAGAAAAGCGCTCAAACTGATGTAAAAGTGTGCAAAATGTTTAATCATCTAGAAGTGGCCGTGACTTCTGGCTAGTTTGTCTTCCCGGGGACCAGGGGTCTCTACTGTTCTGAAGCCCCGACCCTCGGGTTCCCTGGATACTCTTTCACTGAAGGCGAACTTCCACCTGCTGTCCTGGGAGACTCCCTGCCACTTCCGCCTGCCCCAAGGGCTTTCCCACCAGTTCCTCTGCAGGTAACAGGCGGCTGCAGACCTTCCTGTTGAACTTGAGAATCCCCCTCCCCCGCCTACCCCTTGCAGAAGCCCACCTGCCCCAGGGCTGATCCCCTTGAGCTGTGCCCAGACCCCCTCTGTGGGGCACGCATTGCCCCACCCAGCCCTCTGGGGAAAATGTTGCCAGCTGTGTATCCCAGGTGCTTTTTTCCACACCAGCTGTGAGATCTCCTTTGCTGCCTTTACAATGATTGTAAAATTACATTTCCTACGCCCTTCTGTTCTCCAAAAGCGCAACACCCGCACCCCACCCCGACCTCCCCCCCACCCCGAGCTCTACGGTATGAAAACAAGCTAAGCCACCGAGGTGGGCAGAAAAGCAAACCATGGGGTCTCTTTAGGGCTGACTCAGCGCCACGAAGCACCAGGCTGTGCTTATCCACGTATAATACAGCACGCAGGGGAGTTGGCCAAAACACAGTGAATGTGGATTCCAGCCTTGCCTCTGGTATCTCATAAGATTGCTGCTTAAATATAATTGCAAAGAAATTGAGGTTATCTTTGGGAGTGAGGGAGAGGGGGAAGGAAGAGCGAGCTTGGACTGTTCTGTTACTGAATTGCAATCACTGAGCCCTTGTGACACAGAAGCCGTAGGTCAAATCCAAGACCTTCCTGCAGACCGGAGGGAATTGTTCTCCCAGGAATATGAGGCTGGCCTCTTATCTCGTAATAATACCCCTGAAGTCTCCTGCGCTGAGAATTAGCAAGGATGATGACATGGAGGGCGACAAGGGGACCGCTGCCTGTTGTCCTTCTGTATCCATTTCCATCTCTGTCTGTTTTCCATCTCTGGCCTCCGAAAGCTCTATCGTACTTTTCCAACAGCAAGAAAAATCGGGAAGCTTCGATTTACTTATATTTATCTTTATGCCTTATTTTTGGAATTTTCTAAAATTAAAAATCCGATGTCCAGACCCTGGTTATTTAAAAACAGGCAAGTTAACTTCCGCTACATAAAATTTCCCTGGAGGCCCCAAGATTCCTAAAACTAAGCCATCTGAGGAAGCTGGGAGGTAGGGAAGGAAAGGCAGAGAAATAGTCATTGAGAAGACACTGCTCTTACTTTCTCTCCTTGGTTTCCCTTCCAGAATCTTCTCAGGCCCATGATCAGAGGACCTCGCACCATCACCCACCCCAGGGCCACCTCCCACAGCTGTGCTGGCCCAGGGGCCAAGGGGAGGCCCAATCTGAATTTGGCAGCACTCAGAGTGACGCTGGAGGAACCCTAGTTCCCACGGTGGGTAAGGAAAAGGCCTCCTCAGCAACTGAAATGACTTGGTGTCATTCTTTTGAGGCTCACTGCAAAAAGTCTCCCAAGCTTCCCATTAAAACAGAATGTCATAGGCACAATTCCATGGAGAGCCTCTCCCTGAAATCAGTAGATCCAACGATTTGGGGAGTTCACAGATTTTTTGAAAAAAAAAAATGGAGAAATACATACACATTTGTTAGCTCTTTATTGTGCCAAGAAAGGATATTTTTAAAACAACTACTTTCTACTAGCACTTTTTAAGAAAAGCGCTTCAACTCAGGCACATATATGGATGCACAAAAAGAGAAACCCTCCAGAGTAAGGAACAGCCTGTTAGTTGACAATGAACCTCAAGCTTTCTGAAAAGCCAACCACTGTTCCAGAAGCCCGGGTTTGGGGTATCAGTCCCCTCCCTCAGCTGTGTGTGGGGACCCGGGCTACATCTCCATCATCACTCAGCAAAGATCAGTGGGTTTGAGGGCCCCGATGTTCTTCTGGGAACTTCTCCAGGAAATGTACGTAAGAACGAATCACTCCTCCGAAAGCCATCTCCTCCCTGGAGAAAGAGCAGAAAAATGAAAGACTGGTGACCAAAAGGTCATGGCCATTACTTACCCATTATTTACCACCCCTTCAGGGTGGGTTTCCCAGGTCAGTTTCAGTCTGCCGCTTTAATTTCAGGAGTGATGGTGGCCTGGCCCAAAGGGTGGCCCGCACTGCAGTACAGCCTGCTCGCGGGTCAGCCGCGCAAGGAAGGCTGCCTGCTTGCATCTTACCATAAAGCCTAAGTCACTCCAAATGCCCCGCAAAGACCCAGCAAGGCATCTCTAGGCCCCACCGAATCTGCTAATGGATACCCATCGGATTGCAGCGTAGTTAGCTCTGCGTAGCCCTGCAGAGTGGAGAATCGGATGCCTTCGTTCCGATGAAGATGCTAATGCCCCAGCTTTGCACAAGGTGGGAGGGCCCTATTGTCATTCCAAAGCAATTTGTAAGGGATTGGCAGCCTTTGAAAGGGGGACGCACCCCTGACCAGGGTTGGATAATCCCGGCCTCTTAGTCACAGTTGACTTTTCTTCGCAAATGCACGTTTCATCGAGCATTGAGCATCGGCACTGTCCAATTTATACTCTAATGGGAGGAAGGACAGGGCCTCTTGGGAGCTTGGCGTGCATGGCAAGAATCAATTTCCCTCCTTCCTGCAAAGGTTCTCCCACCTGAATGTGTGCCTCAGAGGAGGCAAGAGGAAACTGATCACCAAGAAATAACACATGCAGATGAAGCTCATTCTGAAAAGGGGACAAGTTGGTGAACAGGCCATTAGAAAAAGAGAAAAGACAGAAATACAAATGGTCAACAGATCTAAAATATTGAACACCACTGGTAACTTTTTAAAAATGTGAATTGAAACAGTGAGATTCAGTGAATGATACAGTGAGTGCATTTTTAGTGCATCCAATTGGCAAAATAATGTTACGATAGATCTTGTTTCCTACCCCGACTACCAGGACCCCATCGGAGGAATAGAAAGAGTTGCCATTTTTCTGGAAGTCAGGTCTTCTCTACATAGCAAACCTCAGAAACCCACATATCCTCCATTACTTCACCTGCACAAATGTATGCTAGGAAATGATGAAGAATGCAAAGGTGTCTTTATGTAAGGGTGGTCTCTAAATATCCCAACAGCAGGAGCTGATTAAATTGTTCCGGAACCTGGACTGGATCGCCCAATGGAAGAACCAAGTGGCACTCAGAGATCTTGGAGGATCAGAGGTTTATTTAACACCAGTGGGCTCAGAGGAGAGTGGTCTCCAAAGGTCTGAGCCCCAAGCACAAACAAAGGGGGCAACTGATACACTTCTACTTCCACATACTGGGCACTTTTGGCGTGTGCGCGAAGCGGGGCAGGGAGAAGGACCCGAAAGAGCTCCGGGGCAAGGACTGGGACTCTTCCGCTGGCTCGGTCGGCCATCTTAGGACACAGATTTTCCTTATCATTCCCCCCTTTGATGCCCCTTTAAATACCTAGTTTAGGGGCACCTGAGTGGCTCAGTTGGTTAAGCGACTGCCTTCGGCTCAGGTCATGATCCTGGAGTCCCGGGATAGAGTCCCGCGTCGGGATCCCTGCTTAGCGGGGAGTCTGCTTCTCCCTCTGACCCTCCTCCCTCTCATGCTGTCTCTCATTCTCTCTGTCTCTCAAATAAATAAATAAAATCTTTAAATAAATAAATAAATAAATAAATAAATAAATAAATAAATAAATAAATAACCTAGTTTAGAGGGCATCATTCTATTTGACTCTGAGGGTTGACTGCAAGGCTTGGGGCAGACACTGACTTAATCATAAACTTAACAGCACACCAGGTAGCAGAAGACCAGGACTGACTGGGGCCAGGAAAACCATGGTGAAATGCGCTCAGGAGTAGACAGCAGAGGGCCAGTAAAAGTGGGATCTATGACCTTAGGTAGAAGCCTCTGGGGGAAAGTCCAGTCAGGAGAGGCAACAGTGTAGAGTCCGACTCCTAAGATGAGGGAAATCACGCCAATGAGAGCCAGGGACCACAGTGAGCAAGTGTCCATCAGTCGGTGGGGTCTCATCGAAGGTGAAGCCGGAGTGGGTTCATGGAGTCTGGCTGGACTCTCCACTGGTGCGGCTCCTCGTCCAAATGATGAGCTTTCTTCTTTCTTCCAATCTTTGATGCAAACTGAGTCCCCTGTCTGGGAGGAGTGTACCTGAGACCCTAAGGAGATTGGGGCCCTCTCAAAGGTGTATTTCTGTAATTTATTTAGGGTGGCCCCCGGGCCTGAAGCTGCTCCTTTATCCCTTTATCTTGAACCTAATGCAAGTTTCCTGGAAGGCTTCCCAAGCACGGGGGAGGCTGGCCATATATTAATTTGAATGGGGAGAAACCTGATGTCCCAGGCGTGCAGCGAGCACGCGGGAGAGCTGGGGGTAACAGATCCGGCCACGGGAGGTTAGTCCCCTGACAAAACTTTGCTAAGGTTCCCTTGAGGGTGCGATTCATTCGCTCTACTCTCCCTGAACTTTGGGGCTGGTAAGCAGTGTGGAGTCTCCAGGTGATCTTGAGAGATTTGGTCAAGACTTGTACAATGTCTGCCACAAATGCGGGTCCGTTGTCACTATGGATTGTTAATGGCAGGCTGAGCCGGGGCACGATCTCCTGCAAGAGGACTTTAGCTACTTCCCAGCTTTGCTCCGTCCTGATCCGGAAGGCTTCGACCCACCCAGAGTCTGTGCATACTATTACTAGGAGATACTTGAAACGCCTGCTTGGCTGCACATCTGTGAAGTCTACCTCTAGATATTTGAAGGGGGCTGCTCCCATCCTCTGGACACCTGGCAGGGGCCATGGTGCAGACTGAGCATTATTTTTAGTACGTTATGCACCATTCACTCGTTGCTTGGCACGGTGCTGGCAGCTGACTGACGTGGTAGTGCTTCTGGAGAAGGGCCTGTAGTTTTCCCCAGATGAGTGAGTCGGTGGTGTTCCTTGACTAGATGCCCTCCAGTTGCTGTTGGAACAAAGATGCGCCCGTCTGGCATCATCCACCATCCCTTTTCAGTCAGGGTGGCCCCCTCAGCCAGGGCCCATTCCTTTTCCTTTTTAGTGTAACTGGGCGGAGGGACTTCTTCTGGGGGTGTGAGGGCCATGGTGAGGGAAGGGGCTCTGTCCATGTCCTCACTGGCTGTGGTCTTGGCTGCCTCATCTGCCAGACAATTTCCCTGCAGTACGGGGTCATCTCCTTTCTGGCGTCCCTTACAGTGCAGGATTGCTACTTCCTTTGGAAGCCAGACGGCTTCGAGGTGTCTCAGTATCTCCTCCTTGTTCTTGGTAGCTTTTCCTGCAGCAGTTAGGAGGCCCCTTTCCTTGTTGATGGCTCCGTGTATATGTACAGTAGCGAAGGCAGACCGAGAGTCAGTACAGACCTTGACTCGCTTGCCTTCCCCAAGGGTGAGGGCTCCGACTAAGGCATATGATTCAGCCCGTTGAGCTGACCATCCAGCTGGTAATGCCTTAGCTTCTAGGACCTCAGTGGCTGTGGTTACTGCATAACCCGCTTTCCAGGCACCCTCTTATAGGTCTCGCAGATCTGGACGACTCGCGTAGACTTCATCAGTCATCTCAGAGCAGTCATGGTCTGGTTCCCCCTCTTCCGTGGGGAGAAAGGTTGCTGGATTTAATGTCCTTACTGTTTTGAGGGTGACCCATGGGTTTTCGCAGAGGAGCCCTTGGTATTGTGCTAGCCGAGAGTTGGAAAGGAAGCGGTGTCCCTGTGCGGTTAAGTTCTTGCCCCAGGGTAAGTTTGTCCACCTCCTTGATGAGTAGGACTGTGGCTGCCAGTGCCCTGAGGAACGGTAGCCATCCTGCTGCCACGCAGTCCAGCGTCTTTGACAGGTAAGCAACTGGCCGTTGCCAGGGCCCAACAGTCTGGGTGAGTACCCCAAGTGCTATTTTTTCCTTTTCATGCACAAAGAGATTGAAGGGTTTTTCTACATCTGGTAGGCCCAGGGCTGGAGCCGGCCCCAGGGTGGTCTTTATCTCTGCGAAAGCGGCTTCTGCTTCCTCATTCCAGGCAGGGGTTTCTCGATCTGGTCCCCCTAAGAGATCATAAAGGGGTCTTGCTATTGCTGAGAACCCAGGGATCCAGATGAGGCAGAATCCTGAAGCTCCCAGGAATTCTCATAGGCCCCTTTTTGTCTGGGGCTGTGGCAGGGAGATGATGATCATTTTCCTCTCTGGCCCTAGTTCTCTTTTCCCTTGGGTGAGGAGAAAACCAAGGCATCGGACCTGTAGTTGGCAGATTTGTGCCTTCTTCCATGAGGCTCAGCATCCCGAGTCTGACAGGAGCTGTAGGAGGGCCTTGGTGCCTTTTGTGCCATCTTCTCATGTGTCAGTGGTGAGGAGGAGGTCATCCACATTTTTTTTCTTCTGAGCCACTTAGGTGCCCCCGGGGGTTGCTTTTTAAACACACAGCTTCTGGGATATTCCTTCCATCCCACCCATTTTGATTCAGTGGGTTTGCATACGCCGGATAGTATTACACCCAGTGCTCATCACAACACGTGCCCTCCGTAATACCCATCACCTGGCTACCCCATCCCCCAAATAGTTGCCTTTTTAACAAGGTCCTCCCAGGTGACTCTTATAAAGGAGGTTTGGAAACAATGCCTAAGCCTTGCTGTTCAGAGTGCGGCCAGTGGACCAGCAGGATCTGTATTGCCTGGGGTATCTTGTTTAAATTGCCAATGTCAGCCCTACCCCAGACAGACAACTGGAATTTGCCTTTGAACAGTGTAGTTGGCCCAGGAGAGGGATGGGGCAATCAGGCAGGTAAAGGAATTCATGTCGGACCTTGTGGCCCCCGAGTTCACACTGGTGAGCCTGGCAAAAGGGCTGTTGTATCGCCCATGTCCCAGTGGCCCCAAAGATGGTCACAGGCCTTTTGCTGAAAGGGGCCACTGGGGAGGTGACAACAGAATGCTCGGCCCCAGTATCAACCATAAAAGTCACTGGTTGGCCCCCCACCTTCATTCTGACCGTGGGCTCATGGGGGCCAAGAAGGAAAGAGCCCAGCCCCCTCAGTCTGAGTCCATTCCTGCAAGGCCTATGAGGTCCTCCTCTCAGGGTTCTTCTTTGTAGTGGCTGGGCTTTTGGACCTTTCACCAGTTGGGACATTCATTTTTCCAATGCCCTTTCTCTTTACAGTAGGCACATCGAGCCCTTGCCAAGGGGGTTCTGGGCTTCCCCCCTTTCAGTGGTTGGGGTCTCCCCATCTTTGTGTTGTCCTTTTCTTTCAGGGCGGTGGTGAGGAGGCTTTCTTTTTCATCTTTTTGTCGGCTTCCCGTTCAGCTGCGACCTCCCTGTTCATGTAGACCTTATTGGCAATCTCTATTAGTTGGATGATGCTCATCCTGGCAAAACCCTCTAGTTTCTGAAGTTTTTTTCTGATGTCTGGGGCAGCCTGAGCCACAAAGGAGGTGTTTACCATCTGTTCACTTTCCCGTGCCTCGGGGTCAGATGGAGTGTATATCCTATAGGCTTCACATAGTCCTTCACAGTAGTCCCCGGGGGACTCCCCTGGTTGTTGAGTGACCGAGGATATCTTAGTCATGTTCATGGGTTTCTTAGCTCCTGCCTGGATTCCCCGGAGGAGGGCCTCTTGGTACTGGTGGATGTGGGCCTGTCCCTCGGTTGTGGTGAAGTCCCATGCTGGGCGCTCTTCGGGTGCGGCCGTGTTAACCCAGGCAGCAGGGTTGATGACTCCCGCTGGTGCATGCTCTTCCAGGTACTGCTGTGCACCTTTCATTATTCTCCTCCTTTCCTCTGTGTTAAACAGGGTGTGGAGTAACTGTTGGCAGTCTTCCCAGGTTGGCCGATGAGTCTGGAAGAGGGATTCTATGAGGTCTACCATGGCCTGTGGTTTCTCAGAGTAGGATGGGGTGTTATGTTTCCAGTTGAGGAGGTCGGTGGTGGAGAAGGGCTGATAATACATCATGGAATGGCCGGGTTGGACCGTCCCATCTTCAGCACGGCTCTCGGGTTCCTGCATCTCTCGTACCAGCATTTGGAGGGCACTTGCACCCAGCCTGGGGCACAGCCTGGCTGCTGGTCCTGGAGAAAGTGGATCCTTTGGGCCCGGGGATGCCGGTGGATCCTCTGAGCCTGGGGGTGCTGGTGAAACTGATGGCGAAGGAGTGTCTGGAGCTGAAGAGCCAGGTGTAGACGGTCTTGGGGGTACGTACAGTGGGGACAGGTTCAGTTCATTCTCAGGATCTCTGGCTAGGATTTGTGGAGACTGGGGCTTTTGCTGATTTTCTTTAAGTCGTTTGGATGAGGCGATTAAGACCCTGGCCTCTCCCTGCCTATTGCAAGCGAATCACACCTGGGGGGAAGGGTCTGAGCAATTCCTAGCCAGGAGTCAATGTATGGAAACTGGTCAGGGTGTCCTCGTTCTCCTGTTACGACTCGCCATACTCGATGAATCACTGGGACATCCAATGTCCCTTCTGAAGGCCATCCGACATCAAAGGTGGGCCATTCCAATTCACATAGCATTCTCAACTTGCCGGGGTTCATCCTGACTCCATAGTCTCCCAAAAACCCCTTCCTGAAATTTTTGATCATGGTCTCTAGAACCGCAGGTTTACCCTGCCCTGACCCCACGGTGATGTCCCCATGTGCGGTGGCGCAGAGACAGACAAAGTGGGAGGGGGGGTGCCTCCTGAGATGAGGAGACGAATCAGATGGCTTAGCCGTAACAGTCTCAGCGTTGTGACTTACGATCGGAAACTAGTCCAATGCCACCATAGACCATATGCCGTTCACCACAGAATCACAGACGGGCCCTCTCAGACTCAGTAGGCTTCTGGGGACCTTAAGGGTGCCCACCCGTGGAGTCACAGAATCAGTCTGCTTGAGCAAGCCAGGTCGGACTGCACATTCACTCACACATTCACACTCCAGAAGTTATTACATTCCCTCCCTGAGAATCCCTACCTGGGAGACCTCTAAGAGGTCTCTGGGAGGTGATCAGGCTCCCCTTCCACCCCAATGGGGGTGGGCCTGTCTGGGTCCTGGGGCCCCAGGCCTTACCGGAATCCGACATCGGGATTAGGTCCTCACCTGCCAAGTCTCCTCGAGTCCAACAGGAACAGCGGAGTGGAGCCAGCCCGAGGCGACCAGGGTGGGAGACTGCCGAAAATTAGGCAGGGTGTGCCTTCTCTGTTATGATCCTTCATTCCATCACCATCCTGCCATTTCCCCAAACCGGTGGCAACAATGGGCCAGCGCGGTTGGGTTTCCCAGTCAGGGAACCAAATGTTATGGAACCTGGACTGGATGGCCTGATGGAAGAACCAAGCGGCCCTCAGAGATCTTGGAGGATAGGAGGTTTATTTAATGCTGGCGGGCTCAGAGGAGAGTGGACTCCAAAGGTCTGAGCCCTGAGCACAAAGGGGGCAATTGATACACTTCTACTTCCACATACTGGGCACTTTTGGTGCGTGCACGAAGCGGGGCAGGGAGAAGGACCCGGATTGGTGCGTGCGGGAAGCAGAGCAGGGAGAAGAACCCGGAAGAGCCCCAGGGCAAGGATGGCTCGGTTGGCCATCTTAGGACACAGATTTTCCTTATCAAAATCAGTTATGGTATACCTAAGTGATGGAAGGGGAAGCTTACAGGATATGGTAGTTGTGTATTTGTTGAAATGGAAAGCTGTTCAAAATATACTGTTAAGTTGTAAGCATTTCTATAGTATAGTAAGCATAGGAGCACCTGGGTGGCTCAGTCAGTTGAGCATCCGACTCTTGCTTTGGGCTCAGGTCATGATCTCAGGGTTGTGAGATCCAGCCCCATGTCGGGCTCTGCACTCAGTGTGGAGTCTACTTGTCCCTCTCCTTCGGCTCCTCCCCCCACTTGCGCTCTCTCCCTCTCCCTCAAATAAATAAATAGTCTTAAAAAAAAGAATAGCAAGTGTACATTTTTTTGGTTAATTCATCATTTCAATCAATAAATATTACTAAGCAAGAAGAATGCATCAAAGAGCAAAATAGATAGCTCCCCACTCTTATAAAGATTGCATTTACTGCAGTGATGGGGACTGGGGATTGGATAACAATAAATAAATAAGTTGGTGAGACAATTATCATAGTGTGAGAACTGCTATGCAAGGAATTAAAGTAGGGGGCATAATAAGAGATGTTTCTGAATTTTAAACTGAGATATGAATAAGAGAAGGAGAAAGGAGTAAGAGCGGTCCAGGCATAGAAAACAGCTCATGCAAAGGTCCTGAGGCAGGACCGAGCTTTAGATGACATGTTTAGATCTAGCCGGACCATGTAGATGAATCCAAGTGAAGGAGGGGCAGAGTGGTAGGTGAGGCCAGAGAGCAGGTAGGGGCTGAATCTTGTGGGGTTTGGTAAACTAGGCTAAGGAGCTGGGATTTTATTCTATGTGCTTAGGGAAGAATTGCAGGTCTCAAACAGGAGGTATGATCTCATCAATGTTAGTAAACTTCACACTGACCCCTGTGTGCAAGAATGGATTTAAGGGCACAAGAATGAAGGCAGGGAGACCAGTCACAGGGGCTGCTGAAATTGCTCACACCAGGCTTAAGGGTGGCTTGGACCAGGGTAACAGGTGGCAATGGAGAGAAATGGACACAGTCAGGATTTATTTTGGAGTTAGTACCAACAGTATTTGCTAGTGGATGGATGACTCGGAGGACTTCCCCTTGTCCCTCCTATTCCCCTCAGATGTTTCCAGCCCCACTTCTCTGCCAAGGTTCATCCGTACCTCCTGCCTTTGGGTTCTGTGGGATGACTGGCACCATAAGCGAAATCTCCCTTTCCTCAAACTACCTCAAGCTGTTTTTCATTCCTTGCAAGGGAGGCCATCGAGCACCTGCCATGTTACGATCCTCCCAACAGCCCTGTAAGAAGAGCACAGCCGTTGAAACAAGCAAAGCTCAGAGAGATGAGGTGGCCTGCCCAGTTCTGAGTGGCAGAGAGAGGATTCACACCCAGGACTTCGGGGTCCAGAGCCCGCACATCCTCCTCTCCACCATGTTGGATTACTGAGATGTACCCAGCTGCTAGTTGACCACCAAATACGTCTAGTTAAACACCAAAATCTCAGTTCCCTTGTTCCACAGAAGAAGAACAATGGCCACCAAACCATACTAATTCCCCAGCCTCCCTTGCAGCTAAGTGTGGACATCAGACTTTCTCCAGTGGAGTCTTAGAAGAAATGATGATGCAAGGAGAAGAGCATGGCTCCTCCACGCTCTTTCCCCTTTCTGCAGGCTGCAAGCCAGACTTGGCAGTACGCCAGCTTCAATGATGCAGATCGCAATAAGGCTTTGGGGGGATTGTGGAACAATGACTCGGAAGGAGCCTGAATCCCTGAATGACCACATGGCGCTGAGTCTGCCACCAGCTTGGAAAGCCCACCTGGCCTGGGTATGTGAGAGAGAAAGAATATAAACTGTAATCTTTAAGTCATACTATTGTCAGGTCTCTTTGTACAGCGGTTCAGCCTTACGTTAACTGATACATCACCTGACACGAGCCATATATTTTAAATACCAGTGGCCTCTGTTGTTAAACACTAATTGAGCCCCTCAAACAGTACGTCCAGACAATGTGTAGATCCTTGAGTTTCCCCACTCCTGTCCATAGCTGAACTTGTCTAGTCTGTGGACTAGAGTCAATGCCTCATGCTCTCCTAGGAGTACCTTCAAAACCCAGTTTAGGGGCGCCTGCATAGCTCAGTCGGTTGGATGTCTGACTCTTGATTTTGGCTCAGGCCGTGATCTCAGGGTTGTGAGATCAAGCCCCACATTGGGCTCCAGGCTCAGTGGGGAGTCTGCTTGAGATTCTCTCCCTCTGTCTTCCTCTCACTCCTGTTTGTGCATACTCTCTTCTCTCTCTAAAATAAATAAATCTTTTAAAAAAATAAAAATAAAAATAAAAAATAGAATGCAGTTTAAGTTGGAAACCAAAATCAGCAAGACCTCCATCTCCATGCATGAGAAATTTTTTTACATACCATTATTTATAAAAATATTTGAAGTATTACATTCTTTCTTAAAAAAAATGCTTAACAATTGATAAAGCAAAATTTAAAAATCATGCAATCTAAAAAAATAAAAAACATATAAAAAAATAAAAATCATGCAATCTAATGTTAAATCTGCTGGGAAAAGATCAATTTATTATTATTATTATTATTATTGAATTGGGTTTGTTCCAGAGAGGCCAGCTTCTGGGGAACACGGGATCTGGCTTCCATATGTTAATAAATCATTTTACTTTTCAAAAATGTGGTGGGTTAGTCAGGGAGCAAGCCAAAAACCCTAGTTGATCATGATGAGAATTTATTTATATCAGCCTGTGAGCTTCTTCCCAGAGGGTCCAAATTTAGAGACCAACGTTAAGATCCACAGAAATAGGTGTGACTAAGTTACTTCCTAGTAAGTTCCACTAAATACTGAAATGAACCCAGTATCTCCCTGCACTTCTCTGTGGCTCACAAGCCTCACAAAGCCCTCCAGAGCCCACTAGGAAACCAATCTGCTGGTAGAGCTTGCTCTGTGGACACTGGATGCATTTGGCTGGAGGTGACAATTTGGCTGCAGAACATGGGGTACACGTTTGTTCCTCAGAGTGGCAAGTGTAGGTGTTTCTGGCAAAAGCCCATCAGGAAAAGTGGGGAAAGGACAGTAAGGAAAAGGGGGGACCCCATGCTTAGTAGTGGGAAATGCACCGGTTTGGGATTCAGATGGATGTGGATTCCAATCCTGGCTCTACTATGGGCTCTTCAACTCACATAGTAACTTCTTTGAACCTCAGCTCCCTATAAAAGCACCCACCTCATTGAGTGTTATGAGGACTGAGGAAGCATCTATAGCACATAGAGAATGTTCTGGCAGGCTTGGCACTGAGTCAGTGACTGCAAAACAAAACCCAAGTCGATCCTGCCTCGAGATAAAGAAGTCAGCAAGCCTGTCCTCTTTGCCAAGTCTCCAGGAAGGAATGCGGCATGCCCGCTGGCCTCAAGGTTTCTAAATTGTCAAGGACAGGCTTCTGTGGGTGCTGTTGTGGGGCGGGTGGATATGCTCGCTGACCACATCCCCGCTCTTCTCCTGCAACCGCGGCTGCCCAAACCTTCCAGCTGTTCTCATGGCTAAACCAGCCAGCAAAGCACAGTCAAGGCCTCATGGAAAAGTCTGTGTCCCAGTCGCCTTCTTCTGTTGTCCAAATTCATGAATAACAGTGAAGGACTGCCTTATTGGCTTTCTATTTCTGAGGCTGATAATTCACTTTTTTAACAAAGAAAAAAAGGGCAAAACCAAAAATGAAACAAACAAAAAAAATCCTTCATTTGCCTTGATTATGGTCCTTACCGTTAGAAAGCAAACGACTGGCCTATAGGAAAGAAGGCTATAAAAAGCAACAGTGAATTCATTAGGCCTTCTTTTTTTATGACGGGCACAGGCCCTGGGTTTTTAGCTTCAACACATATCCATAATATCAAATATGGAAAACCAAGTAATGTTCTCAGTATAGTTTTGAGGCTCCCTCGCATGCTGAGACCATGACGGTTGGTCTGATGGCCATGCACCCCTACTCCTTCCAAGCTTCTCCTCATGACTTCCCAGTCTCTGTAATGAGCACTTACTCCCTCTGATACTTTGATACCCCTCCATCTTCCAGTGAAGCATCTGGGTCTTCCATCAGCCCCTACTTCCCTGTATACTCAGCATCTTGAGTCATGCTCTCGATAACATCGTACCAAGATTATAAGGGTCTTTTGCTGGTCTCCCACCTCCTATTTCTCCAAACCATCTTCCATTGACCTACCAAAAGTGCAGCTTTATCTGCAACATTCCTCTGCTCAATAACCTTCGATGGCTCCCTATTGCTCATTCTGCAACCAAGGTTCTCCACGATATGACCCTCAACTCCCTTCTCTATCACATCTCTCCCCAGTACCCACATTCCAACTAGATTTAATCACTCCTTATTCAACTTACCCACCTTTTGCCATCTCCATGGCCTTTTTCATGTGATTCCTCCACCTGGAATACTCACCCTCCTTCCCATTCACCCACACACTAAACTCAAATCCATCTATCAGAGACCATCTCAAGGGAGACCTCTTCCATAAAGACTTTCCCAATCCTTCCAACAAGCAATACACCTAACTTCTAAATCCCACTGGACCTTGCATTTGTACTTACTTTCCTTCTGTCTCTTGTTTCCCTCTACCTTGCAGCGTCAACTCCTAAGTGTCCATGAGGGCTTCTGAGCACGGTCTGGTTGGAAGGGAAGGTGGGGAGACGGGCCTTCAAGCCGCACTTGCAGAAGCACTGGTTTTACTAAAATGAGATGGGCAGGGAGATCAGACGGAGCTGCTCAGGCAGACAACCCCCGCACACACCCTGCAGCCATGGAGACCTTCTTGCCCTTCTTGTCTTTCTCCCACTGGACTGCAAGTGTCTGAAGGGTAGAGGCTGTGCTCCTTAAGTAAACTCCTGCCGCAGGGTCGAGCACAACACCAGCTGTGGAGAGCTTCTTGACACCAAGCGCGCTGGATTTATAAGAGCAGACAGTGCCTCTGGGAGGCGTCCAGCCTGCGCAGCTTCTTCCAGTCTGTGCAAAACAAACAAGTCTCCGGCACCCATTCCCTCCTGGCATCTCACCGAGGCCAAGTGTGGGACAGTCAGTCCCTCCCCCATGAGAGCTTCTGACCTGCTTCTCCTTTAAGCTGCCCTTTTACTTTTGAACCCATGTTTACTCAGGAACCCATAACGGGGTGACCACCCCATCCAAAGGGACAGCCCCCAATGCCAGTCCTGAGTGAAGAGTCCTGTCAATTCGCTTCACGTTATTTTTCCAGCTGGGAAGACTTCCTCCATCAGTTTCACCAGGAATCCACCTTCTGAGGGTGCCCGCTCGGCCCGCAGGTGCCACCCCTCATTCGAAGCAGCCAAGACAGCAAATTGCCCCACACCTTGGTTGCACCTGCTTTCCCTGCGCTGGGCGCGGGGCCTCCTTCCACCCGGCTCGAGCCCAGCAGCCCCACTGACGCTGCACCCTTCTCTGCAGGCGAAAGCTCTCCCCATAAAGTCAGGGCTTCCAGAAGGGGCATGGAGGGGGATCCAGCCACTGCACATATCCCTGAGCCAAAACAGAGAGAGAGAGAGAAGGAAACAGTGGCCAAGACAGGGTGGGAGCCCCAGCTCCCCCATTTTCCTATACAAATGCGAGACCAGATTTTAACCTCTCCCTTGGCAACTCTGCACGTGAGACAAGAGAGAAACTAATACGGACATGACTCTTGCACTGCATTAGACAGTCACTTCCCCCACCCCTTGTTTCTTCATGGCCTTACTTTTTTTTTTTAACACTTGAACCCAGGTTAGCCTATTTCCTGTTCCTATTTTTAAGGAATTCAGGGCCTCTGCAGTAAAGAGAGACAAGCATTCCCTGGAGCTTTCTATTAGGAATGTTTTTAGATTGTTGGTTGAAAGCATGTACGTTTGTTAATTTGCACCCTAAACATACCCCACGGCCTCATTTAACTCTGAGCACTCATGTGTGTATTGCAACTACCTATGCATGGTTCCAACTTAATCAAGTACTTAATGAGCAGCATTAATATTCGTTGTCTTCTCCATGGGAGCCTATGCTCATCAAGTAACTGTTGGCTGTCTCCACAGCCTGTGGTTGAGCTAAGAATTGTCTGTCCTTTCTCGAGACAGTGAGCTGTTGGTCCCCCAAGATGGGAAAACCCTGCTGGGTGCTTTCCAAAGGCTTCATTTTCAAACAAGATGTTTCCACTTAACAGATCTTTTGCCGACGCCAAGCGATTTGGAAGAGCAGTAAGAGATCCACCATCTGGGTGATAGTCATTCAGAGATCCTTGTAGCGGGCCTATTATGTGCCAGACACTGGGGATCCAATGAGGACCTGCCCTCATGGTGCTTATAGTCTGGTGGGAGAGACCTACACTTAGGGAAAGGTCAGCCTAAGGAATATATAACTGCGAAGTGAGATTAGGGCTTGTCAGGAAAAGCATGGGGTGCTGGGAAAGCCATTCTCTAAAGAAGAGATATTGGAGTTGAACTGAAATATGAATGTGGGGAGAGATTAGTTATTCATCGACTATTAGGTCTGGACACACACACACACACACACACAGTATAACTCCTCTATTTATACCTAAAGAAACTGAGGCCCAGCAGAGCAAAATGTCTTGCCCAAGGTCAGAGCTAATTATAGAAACCGGCCATTCCAATATCTAATCCCTTCCTGCTAAATCACATGGATTTTATTTACATCCCCACCATAGATCATCTCAATACATTTGGCCAATAAAACACAGAATATTGAGTTAAAACCACACCCCTCAAGACCACAAGCATAAATAACGATCGTGTTTTAATGTGGATGATACCTTTTCATTTGCAAAGCCAAATTCTCATCATATCAAAATCCAAGACAGTTTGTTTTCAGTAAGAACGGGAAGGTCATAACCCTGTCTAAAGAGCACTGGCAAATCTCTCTAACCGTGCAATGCTAATTTGGGCGTGAGCTGTGTGTTTAGGCTGACTTCATGCCCCAGCTGGGGTTTCAGATTTGCACATGGCGATTGGGGGGCTCTTTGCTGTTGCACAGCAAGGGTCTCCCCCTGGACTCTGGAAGCCTCCGGGGACTCACCGCTGTCCTCGCCAGTGTATGTCTGTGCTCCGTGGTCAAACATTCTTTTGAAAAGCCCGTGAGAATCCACTCGCAGTCTGTGCGCTCGCATGTAAAAGCAAGGACTGGAAAGAACCGCAGAGGATCACACTCTGACCCGAGGTTACCTCTGGGGAGCTGCTGCAATGGGGAGGGGATGTGACACGGTCTTCTTTTTATTCTAGATACGCCTGAGTTGTGTAGAATTGTACACAAGAACGTATTCGTGTATTACGCATTTAATACATGCGTATCAATTTTTTTAAAGAAAAATCTTAAACAACACTAACAACTCAATAGAACAAAGGTGCGTCTCCGCAGAGAGCAGAAGCGTTCCTTCTGGATGTTGACTGTCTATTCCAGAAACCTCAAGAGTAACTCCCCCGTTGACCAGCACAGAACTGAAGGTGGAAAACGTGCCCTCCCCTGCATCCCAGCGGGAAATTTGGAAAAGTTGGAGGCGCCTCGAGGGTCGCCGCACTTGCGGCCCGCGCCCCCCTTACGGGTGCCTTTCGGCAAGTCCTGACTTGACCGCGTGCGCACCCAGCGCCCCCCAACCCCCCAATCAACCGGTGCGGGTGCCGGAGGGTGCGGCCGCGGCGGGGCGGGGCCATCCGAGCCCGCTCCCCCACCTCCTCTCGCGTCCCCTCCCCGCCAGCCCCGCCCGCGCTCGCCCCCCGCCCGCGCCCGGGGCGCCTGGCCCGCCCCCTCCCCTAGCGCGCAAACGAACCTTGCGACGCGCTCCGCGGCGGCGGGCGGGGGCCGGGCGAGGGAGGGGGCTGGCCCGAGCAGCCCGACTTCGCAGTTGTCTCCCGAGCGCGGGCTGCGCCGCCCGAGCCGCTGGGCTGGGGAAGCACTAGCCGTGGGCTCCCGGGCCGGCTCCTCCAGGCGCTCGCGGGCATGCAGCCCGGGAGCAGGCGGCGTGCCCCGGGCCGCTGCTGAGCCGGCCGGGGCGGCGGGGACCAGCGCCTGCCGAGCCCCTCCCACCTTGCCCCGGGGCCGACGAGCGGCGCCCCTGCATCCCCTCTCCGCCCGCAGCCCCGCCAGCGCCACCCCCCGCGGGCCGCAGGGGCTCATGCAGCCGCCAAGGTAAGCGCGGGCCGGGAGCGGGGCGGACCCGGCTCTGACATCCCCGAGACGCCACCCGCACTTGCGGGGGCCACGGCACTGCTCTGGTCCTCCCCATCCCCGCGTCTCATCTTGCTCGGGTCTTGCCCGGATTTGGAGCTTTGCTGCGCCTCGATCGCTTTAGCTCTTGGCAGCAGTGAAGTTTTTGTGGTTTAGTATTTGCTCTTTTTTTCCTAAAATGCTCTCCCCGGGCAGCCGGCAGCGCGCGTGCTTGGACAGACCCGGCGAGCGTCTCTTCCACTGTGTGCGGGCTGGGAGCTCCCTTTCTCCCTCGCGGGCAGCCGCACCGGGCAGCCCGCGCAGCCTGGGACGCAGCCGGAAAGAGGGCTGTCCCGCCGTGACCCCCCATGGGCGCGACTCACCCGGGTCCCCTCCGTCTGCTCCAAGCCTGGCTGCCTAGGCCAGCTGCAGAGCCGCGGGACAAGCGCCTGCCCCCGGGGCGTCGGTGCTGCCCGGTGCGGGCTCGGGTCCGAGCGGTGCTTTGAACTGGAAGCACCAGCGCGCAGGAAGGTGCGGGACTTGGGTTCACTGCCAAGGGGCCGGACTCCCGAGTGGCCCCGGCGCTCCTAAGTGGACGGGTGGGCCCGGCGGGCGGGGCACAGAGACGATTCCGCGCCCGGCTGGATGCGTGGCTCATGCCAGGGAACTAGCTGAAGCAGGGGTACAGGTGTATTTAGGGGGGAGGGCCGACGGGGGGTAAGGGACGCTCGGTTGCAATTCTTGATTGCATCCTGTTAATGTAATTGCATTAGATTTGCTCGGAGGCAGAATCAATTCCCCCAGATTGCGATTTTTAGTGGGAGGCTGCGAGTTGCTATTATGTGGTGTGGTTTCGGAAGGCGTTGGATTGTATTTATTTTATAAATCGGGCGTCTCGCGGACGGAGCAGGGGAAATCGCGCCATCTAGCGGAGATGGCAAGCTGCGCGTTCCTTTTAGGCAACGAAGTTGGGTGTTCTCGAAGGAGACTCCAGCGCCAGGTAGAGAGAGGCGGGATGAGCCCTCCTGGGAAGAGTAGTTATGCGTGTATCTATAGTCGGGCCGACACCCCCAGTTCAGCACGCCAAGCTCAAGGGACAGAATTACAGGTTGTACTGCAGGACAGGCTGTCACCTCGAGGAGATCCGTCACCTCCGATCCGGCTTTAGGGTCCACCAGCCAAAACATACAATGTTACCTGCCAGTAAGTGGATACCCGTCATTCGAACATCTATTGCGGGAGGGGAGAAAAACAGAGACTGCTGTCTTCTCCAATGCATCATAGAGAGGGGATTTTTCAGGCAGATCTTGAGCCATGACCCCTAGGAAAGAGATTGGCCGGGAAGGAGAGCTGAAGGACAAGTGGGAAAGGGCCTCCTGCCGATCTGCGCAGGGACGGGAGAGTATACCAAAATGGTATTTTTTTAAACACAACAAAGAGTTTCCTGATGTTCCACAACCACAGCAGGTAACAGGCAAGCTCCCTTTATAAGGGGTATGATCTCCAGTGAACGATGGGGCTGACTTTGCTGGGTGACAAGCCCGGCGGACAAAGGCTCTGGGTGGGGCACCCACACTTCCAGGCGGGCTCCACATTCTCTGTGGCTGGTTTTTGCTGCCACCTTCCAGGCCGGATGATATTAGCAATGAGCTGAGTTCTCCCTATTCTAAAGGATACCTTGGTTCCTTGGAGAGCAGCATGGTGGTGCCCTTAATGGTGAAGACCCTTGCCACCTTGAAATCCTCTTTCCTGTGGTGCTGGGGAGGGAGGTCCCTGATCCCTTTTCACAATAGCTCTGCTCCTACCTTTTCCCTCCCAGGTGACAGACCGGTACTTACATTCCAAATAGACATGTGGAATGGGGGGCGCAGGGGCGTATCTGCCTCCCCCATGCTGTCTCTTCCTTTGCAGGTGTTTATTTAATAATCAGATTTGTGACCAAAAGGGTCTTGCAGTAACCTGGCCTCTTATTCAAGGAGGGCTTCTCTGACCTTTGCTAAGAAACCCCTTACAAGGCATGACCACTGGTCCCCCAGTGTGCATAGTAACACAGAACAGAGCTGGGAGAAGCTCCTATTTTATAGGACCCTGGACTTGGCCCTTCAGCCTCCCCACGTGGGGCCAAATACAGGAATTCTTAGATGAGGAGATGCAAAATAAAACGAATAGGTACTGAGCATCCCTGACGTTGGGACAGGAAGTCTTTCAAGCCACCGCTTCCCTGATACTCACCAGAAAAGGTGCTGGCATTTCCATTTCTCTAAAGAAACTGAGGTCCAGACTTAACATAAATTTACCCTGAAGAAGGGAGGCTCCAGGCTCTCCCACCTGTCTGGTATCCAGACCCATTCAAAGGACAGACTCCTGTTTTTCTTATTTTGACCGAATGATAGTTCAATGTCAGCCTCCCTTCTTTTCACAGAACAGAGCTATGAAGGAGCAATGAACAGAGCAGTGGAAAAACTAGGACTGCCTTACCCAAGTGTGCATGCATCCAAGGTCAGGCAGAAGTCAGTTTCCTTGGCGACAAATAAACATTTTTTGAAAGGATGCCCAGTTTCTTAACCAGGTGTGACCCTATGAATAGAAAACGCAGCATCGTATTAGAGTCTAGGGGTCAGGAGGCAAGAATGCCTGCTGATGGGTGAAACTTTTTCTAATTCTAAGGGCGGTAAGAAGACATTTTGAAACTTGGGCAGAAATTTTGTAACAAAGTAAATGCAAATATCTTTTATAGCCTCACTTAAAAAATTTCAAGTCACTGCTACTTGATGAATATAAAAATGCCCTCTGTACTTACTTGACTTATAAAATTATTGTATCCAGATTCCTACGGTGAAGAATTAAAGTGTGGCAAACACTGTTTATGCAGGAAGAAATAACAAAGCGGCCGGTTGAGTTTACTTCTGGTTTTTCAGTTGTTTGTTTAAAGCAACACTACAAGATGAGGAACTTTCTGGAATCAAGATACTAGATTTGCCAGAGTCTGAAAAATCTGGCAAAAACTTGAAAACAAATATTCTGTCAGCTATCTGGTAAATTAAGGCCAGTTCCTATAGATTCTGCGGCCTCCACAAGGCAGAGCAGAGATCAGCAGATATTAGTAAAAATGCCCTAAAACTTATTGATTTGTATCTGTGAGGCATTGTTTAGTGGTTACCATCCTTCGTGGCTGTTACTTATGTTTTCTTTTTCCATCTTTGGGGACTCTCCTACTCAAGGTCTTTGCAGCAGCTTGCCTGGCTGATAGCAACAATTTGTCCTGTTTCCTGATAATGCTTAGCTCTTCTGACCTTGTGAACTGAGATATTCTGGCCAAGTCCTCAATAAGAGCCTCAGTATCATCCCTTTATTCTTCATACACTGTTCTTCTGAAGATGGACACAAACATTTTTCATCCTCTTTAGGAGCTCTGAGGACTTTTCTCTTGATAGATGACTTTTTGAAACGAGCTTAGGTGGAAACACACAAACACACCAAAACTCACCATTATGGCATCCTAAACATTCGTGTTATAAGCCTTGGCGGCCACAGTGCCCACACTCAACTTCAGAGTTCAGTGTCCTGTTAGTCTTGTATATATTTCATTCATCTGTGCCATGGTGTGTCTCTTCCCAGCTGGTTACCTACTTAAAAACCAGGATACCCCGTTGTTCCAGGTACTTCCACAAAGTTTTCTCCCCTCTATCAAAGCCTGATCCTCTTTTGTGATCATAAGATGTTTCTGGTTACCGCCGGCTGGGATGCCGCATTACTTGGCTCCCCAAGAGGCTTGCTCAGAATCATCTGCTGGACAAAAGTGACTTTGAAATTCGCTGCCAGTGTGCATTTTCAGCTTCTGACCCTGGCATCCTAGAGAACAGACTGCTCTCATAAGAATATATCCCTTGGACTGTGGAGATTTGAAGCTACTCTATGGCATTGCTGCCTCTGCAACCATTTTGTTTGGCCACATAGCCTGTTGGGGGGGGGGTCTTAGATTGATCATAACCTCCCCTCCCCCAAGCAAGTGCATGCCCTAGACAGCAGCCACAGAGTCCCAAGCAGATGTAAGTCCTAATGACTTCCCCAACGGCCTCAGTGATAAAGTCTCCCCCACCTCCCAGGGCTGTGCCCTGATGCACCCCTTAGAAAAGACCCCCGTGGGGCTCACCAAAAGCCCACTCTTTTGGTTTGAATGGACCAATCTGGACTTAGCACAGAAACCCGCAAACGCTCTACCCATGTCCCCTAATAAAGGCTTAAGTCCTGGTCCTGCCTCTCTCTGCACCCTCCACTGACCCCGCCCCACCTGGCCCCTCGAGGTATGCCCTGCTCTTCCTCTAGGATCTGTGAATAATAAATTTCTCTATTTCAGTTTCCCCTGGTTCGCCATTGAACTATGGCTCGCCACCCGGCACCCTGGGCTCCACTTAATTTGACAGATTCCTAACAGAAGAACACGTGTAAATGCATATCTCATTCACAGAATCGTAAACACTGTAGGGTTTCCTCAAAAGACCTGGTACTTTGTAAACAATAAGAATTAATGTTTGTTTGGAAATTTGGGTGTATAATACACTTTCATTTACATTTAATTTAATATCCAGCATGGAAAGAGGTAGAGTATAAATAATAAATAGATTTTTTAACACCACTGCATTTTCTCAGATGGGCTTCCATTTATGCAAGAGAGGCAGAGCAATGAGAAATGTAGAGCTTAGAGACCAGGCTTACCTGTAGACACTATGAGGTTCACAACGGCACCCCCTCACAGGTCTAGACTTGCTAGTAACCCCTCCCTGCTAAGTTTGGCAGCTCATTTTGCACCAGAACAAGGGATTCATGGGACATTCATTTATGTTGTCTCACACCCTTCAGTGCAGCTAAAACAGTCTGATATTCACATTTCAGAAGACTGATTTCAAAATGCTTACCTTACTATCCAGAAGCACACTGGGCTTTGTATCTTTAAGTATCTCAAGAGCATA